GCTACAATTAACTATTAGCACAGGTATGAAAGTAATTGACTGTTAGGTGGTATTTTTTTAAATATTTTAACTCTAGAAGATCTTTAGAAATATTTTTTTTGCAGTTTGAATTATTGAGTTGATCGGTTTTTGGAAAATATTTTCTGAATTCTTTTGCTACTCTATCTAAGACATGACCTTAGCAAGTGACATGTTCTATTTTCCAATAAAATACTTTAATTGCTTTACGAGTTTTGACCACCATAAGGTTGTGGCATCATCAGTTAATAAAAGCAGTACTTGATTACTTTTAATACCATTAAGTCGAATAATTTGTAGAGATCTATTGGGAAAGTTTTTAAATGGTGCTATGATCTACCTTTTCTTGGACTTCAGTTTTTTCCTTAAGAAATGTTTCCCGAGGTCTTTTAATTCTTAAGTTTCCACAGTAATATTTGCTACATAGCGCCTCTTAATGTCTGTGATTTCATTAATAGTTTCCTGGTAGCAATGAAAAACATAACTTTTTCTTAAAATTATTTTTATTAGGGATTGTTAAATATTTTGTTCTATTTGTATTGTAAAGAAATATTTGCAGATAATAATTCCCTACATTAGTCTCGATTAAAAGATAACTGTTTAGATGGTTAAGTTATCTAATGTTGAAATTTACCTATACTATGTTGTTGGTTTTTAAGTTAAATTCTGTTAATATATGAAAAATTTTGTTTGATGGTAAATTTTTTATGAGCTACAACTTTACCTCATATGTTCTACTATCAGTTAAAAAAACTTCATTGCCAAATTATTTTATAAATTAATTAAAATGCGAGTTGTTTCTTTCCTTGTATTTAGGCATTTTTATAAATTAAATTTTAAATTAGGAATATTTAGAATGTTACAATTGCTTATATTGTAAAGTAATATTATAAATAGGGCTCGGAAGTTGATGCATTTTGCATTTTTTTTGGAACTTTTTAAACGATGCTCTCCACAAATCTGTTCCATAAGCATGTGAATCTAAATAACTAATTTTTATTTTGCATTATTTTGTGTTTTTTTCGTTTTAAGTCATTTTTACTGATTTCACACTAGTTCATTTTTTATTGTTTCTTGTTGACCGTAATGCTGATAACTTAAAACTTGGAAAATACGCTCTAATTGTACAATGCAATGATTTTGATTTTTAAATAATTTCTTAAGCTTTGATAAATTTATAAAACAAATATTTTTAATTTTTTAATTTTCCTATTTTAAGGACATTTTTGTCATTTTTATGTCATATTTTGAATTTTATAGTAAAGTATTTAAAAAAAAATGTATTTTTATTAATATAAAACTAATACTTGTAATTTTTTAGGTCATTTTTTTTTTTGTTTTTAAGGTCATCAACTTTCGAGCCCTAATTATAAAAACACAAACTGAAATGATTCCAAATAGAAAACACAGATAAAATATTACCTGATAATATGAACCAATAAGTGCTAGTCAACACGTCAGTTGCGTCTATACTAGACATATATTACACATATTTTCTTTTTATCTTTGACTTAAACATATTTTTCTGTTCAAAATTTCTGTCGATTATAGTATTAATTTTTTTTTTTTAATTTAAATTTAATAAATTATTATAATATGTTAATGTACAACTATATCTCAGTTTTTAAATGTTTAAGAATAATAATAATGCAAAGTAAAAAAAACTCACTAAACAGTCAAACAATCACCTGGTTAGGTTTCTAATAAAATTTAAAAATTCAAAATAGATTCATATTGTTAAATTCTGCATAACAAAAATCAAATTTTTATAAAGATGAGCCTTAAATATAAGGATTAGAAAAAAAAATACAAATGCATTAATTTTGGGTCCTAGTTATAAGATATGAGTTAAATTTAAGTACTATTAGAAATTAAATATAAGTAAAATTTTGCTATTTCATACAAATTATGAATAACTGATTTTTTAAAGCATTACCATATTATGTTATCAAACATTAAATTTCAATATTTTTATTTATATCATATTATATATTCAACTTCTTTTATAAATAAAATTACTTCAGTGTCTAATGTTCTACTTTCAAAACTTAACTATAGTTGAGGATAGTGTAAATAAATTGGACCTTTTCCGTTAATTCACTACCACTACTTTTTTTTTTGGTTTTTCCGTTTTTTTTTTTAGATTATTATATATCATATTATTTTGATTTTGGAGGCATGAAGTTTCAAGAGTAGAGCATATGATCCATAATCTTTAAAACCAATAATTTTAAAATCTAATAACTCAATCTTAAAAAATTGACTGACTTAAAAAAAAATTGAATTATCCAAAAAAGTATTTTATTTAATTAAATTTTTAGTATTTATTTTTAAGTTTCTATAAATGAATTATTCTATCAAATGGATTCTGTTTATATTAAACTTAAATGTGATGACATTATACAAAAATTTGTTAAATAACAAAATTAATACCATTATTAATTATAAAATGTTTACATATCTTTTCATTCTTGTTCAAATGTTAGATTATCATTTAGAAGCTGCTGTGTGGGACCGAAAATCTTAGTTTTTCTCTTTTTAACTGTGAGTCAAATAATGCATGCTTGTATAGAAATTTTTATCTCTATATTTATTATCGATGGAGATTTAAATGCGTTCTTACTTATCAAAAACCTATTACATAACTAAAAAACTGCAGTGGTAGAAAATGTGACTTTAAGCCATAAATGCATAATGTAATGTCAATGTTTACTTATTTAACATCAATACTCTTCTTTAAGAATTTAACCACTAGTACTATTAAACTCCAAAATAAAATTTATTTTAAGGATTTTTTAAAATTATGTAGACTTCTGAATAATGTCTTAAGTTAATTATTTACTAGTTCCTACTATAATTTACAAAGTTAAAAATATTTGAATTTATAAAGTGCATTAGTAAAATCAATTATTTTTTATTTCAATATAAAAACTCTAGATAATTGTTTTTCTTTTTAAATGTTTGTAGTGTCTAGTATAAACTTTCAGAAAATAACACTTTAGTGAAATTATAATTAACCTAAAAATATTTTTAATACAAAGAAAATTTAGATCTTATACTCATATGTATAAACTAATTTTATAAAATATAATCAATTTTGTTTTTATTATAGATATATTGATGCTCCACTAAATGAATCTGAACAGCAGAAATTGGAAATAGACCGTGCTGACCGTAGTTTTTTTATGCAAGAATTATTATTATCCATGTTGACTCCAAATGGAGCTATGCCAGCAACAATAACTGCCAAAAAAGACCAATCACCATTAGCCACAGTAGCTCAACCTCAAGTGTCGCAAGCATTAACTAAAACGATAGTACCAGATACTAAACAACGACAATCTAACAGCAGACCATCACCACCTCCTCCACAGCAATCAACTAACCATGTAATCGGTGTTCCTCATAGATATTCTTCACCGCCCAGCCGCAATAGACAAGCTGTGATGCAATCACAAATTCCACAGCCAGCAGCTAATGTTAGAAAACAACCTAAAGTCTCTGATCCATCACCATCACATTGAACTAATAATGGTAAAATCCGGTTGCTGTTAATAAATTCAACATGAAATGTCTAGTCGTGTACTGGTGTGTAACACTTAAAATTTAAGTAAAATATTTAGGATGATTGTTTTCTATAGACTTCAGTTTAGTTATATGCATATAAAAACAAATAATTAATGATAACTAATTCAAACATGTATATTATAATATGTATAATTTTTTTTGTATTTAAAAAAAACCATAAAAGAATATACTGGTCTTTAAATAATTGAACATTGATTTATCGCTTAAGTTATTATACTAATCGCTTGAATTCATCACATGTCTGGAGTTTCAAACGCGATATTTCTTCTATTGTGATATTGGAATTAATAATTATATTTTGTTAAGAACAAAATTGAAAATAAAGTTGATAACTTAGTAAATATATTGTATATATGTCTAGCCATTGTTAATTTTCTTTTGAAATTAAAAATTATATAAATATGTATTCAGTAATGTTTGTTCATTGTTTTTAATAAAATTTACTTCAACTTTTATGTTTCTGAGTATTTAACCACTTTTTATAACATTTCTTAATAATGGATTTAATCATTTTTTTTTTAATATTTGTGTACTAAATAATAATATTCAATTACTTGAAGCATAATAAGTAACAAACTTTTTAAATTTAATTAGGAACATTCTGAGTTGGAATATTAATATGTATACATAAACAATCATAATTTTATTTTATTACATCGGCCAAGTTCTAGTAATTTTATTTGTTTTTAATTATTTCTGACACTTATCTAAAAATTAATTGCATCGTTGTTTTTTCCTTTTTCCTTTTTTGATTATTATTTTTTGTTAAATAAACTATTTATATTTTTATTTTGCTTTTCTCATTTGATGTAATTATTTGTTTGTATTTTAATACTTAGAAACATTTTAATTAACATAATTCTATTACAAAAATAATATATGAGTTATTACAACTCGTAAGGGTTGATATATTTCAAATACATCCTACAATGATAAACCAAAATATTTAAATTTTTATCAAAAATGTAATTGTTTATTTATAATGTAAACAAAGCTTAAAATAGAACTTACTTAATCTTTACATCATATGTATGAAATAAAATGCCATTATATCAATTAATAAGTAAAATATATATTCTTCAACAAAAATAATTTTTAATTTTTATAACAATACTTATATTTTATTTACTTCTACTAATAATATAATAAGTAACAACACAAATATATAAATATAAAAGTAATACAAAATATTGAACATTAAACCATATTTTTTTTAGTTAAGTGTTTTAAAAAAAAAGATCAAAGTATTAAAAATTCAATATTAAACACTTGATTGTATAAATAATAAAGTAATATTATAGATATTTCAAAATAAGTTAAAATTTGCCAAATTTATGTATATATGTGAACAATATTGTCATTACATAACATAATTAAATTAATAACAATGTAAATATAGTCCCAATTTTAATTAATGTTTCCCGCAATAAAAAAATAATTAATAACTAATAATTTTTTTATGATTCATGACTTTCTCTAGAGATCTTAAATTGTCCCACCAGTTAGTCAATTCGTTTTGTACAATAAGATTAAACCATGGTGTAATTGGATGTTTTAAATTCCTTAAAAATGTATTCATTTTTGATTTGGGAATATATAAGGCAGTACTCACTTCATCTGGATTGGGGTTCAAAGAAACATCTTTATGTAAAATAAATATATAATCAATTTCATGTTCACCCCATGTTCCATCTCCTTCAGACATGTACCTGAGAATAATACATCAAATTAGGTATCAATTTTTGAATAGATTGATTTAGTTGTTATTACCTTATTCTAGTTATATACTGCAAGTCTTTAGGTTGACACTGGCTTGTAGGAATTCCTAATTCAAACACAAGTCTGCGACAAGCAGCAGCTTTAGCACCTTCTAGGTCTTTGCGCTCATGTTCAATCTCGTATAGTGGATGACTGCAGCAAGAATTTGTATAATGATCAGGGAATGTGATTTTGGTCGATGAACGCTGTTGTAATAATAGTTCATCCTTGGTATTGAATAAAAAAACACTGAATGCACGGTGTAACGGAAGATTTCCATTTACGAGTTTATGACAGTCTCGTTTACTAGCAAATCCACACTCTTGGTCATGTTGGTCAACAAGAATACAACGTTCTTTAAGGGCAGCTTCTTGTACAGGATTTAATGGTTTGGGTACAGTTGATAGAAACCTACGTAAGGGTAATGTACCCAATGACTTAAAAATCAACTTCATCATATATAACCTGTTGTAAATACATATAAATAAGTTAAAATTTATTTAAGAAAGATGCTTGTACTAGCAATGTTAATTCAACTGTGTTTAATAAACTAAAAACTTACTAAATATATTCAAACATTTTACATTTAATTGGTAATATATTGTGATGAAGAAATGGTTTGAGAATAAATAATACATTATTGTTGATAAAAATAGAAGGTTTACATAAAACATATTTAGAACACAATAATATAAAAAAAAGTTGAATGCTCACGATTAATTTTAAATAAAATATAATTAATGGAAACTGTATCAAAGTAATTAATTTTTAATATACACACATTAAAAGCGTACTGTTTAAATTCACATGTAATTAATCAATTTTATTTTTAGAATAGCAAAAATATATATATATTAAGTTGTATTAAAATTTAAAAATAAAATCAAAGTAATTTCATAAGTTTGATATTCTCAAGTAAAACTTACTTTTGTTAATAATTAACATCATTATGCATATACCAATAAAAAAAAAAAAATTAGAATTTTATAACAACTTTTTTTTTTAAATGCATTTTTGTCATCATTTTTTTTTCTAAGATGCAAGATTTTTTTACTAATGATAAAAATATATCACATCATAAATTATTTATAATACAAATGAAGGTGGCCTGAATAAATTTTAAAAAATTTGGGACACCAAAATTGAATAGGTAATGGTATGTAATTTTTTTCACTTTTTCAAAATGTGATATGTCTATGCCCTATAGAGCAGTGTTTCTTAACCAGTGTGTCGCTAAATAAGTCCAAAAGTATCCGAAGTTTATTATATCAGACATAATGTATCAATATTTTTGACAGATTTCAAAAATTAATAGGTTATGATAATATATATTTTTTTGATATAATTTTTTTAATAATTAAAAATAAGTTATCTCTCATCGACAACATTTTACATATTTTATATTACAAATTAAAATTAAATATTACTTTTTATTCTAATTTTTTTATTGTGTGTTATAAAGTATGAAATATTTTAATGACGTGTTGCTATAAAACGAATGTTAAGAAACACTGCTATAGAGTATAGATATTACATGTTAATGGTTTATTAGGAACAAAAATATTTCAAAATTATTAAATTAGATAAGATATTTTAAGTTAAGATAAGTATACAAATCTAGGTAAATTTTTCAGGTTTATTATTTTTTTTATTGTCCTTAAATATCTTGTATTTTTTATTACTATAGGATTTTCTATAGTAATAAAAAATTATTTTAATATTTTGTTATAAAATTCAATGTTACTCGAGTTACAGTTTTTGTTATCAAATAACATTCTATTGTTTTGGTAATCATTTGATTTTGAATGTCTGTTCAAATGGTTATTAACAAAGAAAATACTAGCTCTATTGATGCATTTAATCATTTTAATCCCATAAACAAAATATAAACTCACGATCATTGTAAGATTTGTATCCACTTTAGTTCTATTAAAATATAATTTTTTGACCAGTTGACCAGTCATCAAAGAATTTATTTTCATTCATCCTAAAATTTTTTAATGACATTTTTATTGTATTTTTAACATTATTTCATGTAACTACATTTTTATTTGTTAAGTGCATCTAATTTAATTTAATTGTTAGAGTGCCCGGTTAGATAATGTTCTCTTTTGAATATATGTTATACATAAATCATAAAACTTTTCACAGTTTAAATCAAATTATTTATTTAATTAAATAACCCTCTTTTTAATATTTATCAATATTTCCATTTCAGTATTAATATCATGTTCATTCTTCCTATTTTCTAGGTTATTTAATAAACTAATTAAAATACCAAATGTTTTCCAGTTCAATTTATTGAATATAATTAATGAACAGTTTAAGAATATTTTGTATAAACTTCATAAATAATAGAGCAGTGTTATTTTGAAAAAAGTCAACCAACATTTTAAAACACAGAAGTTAAAGGTAGTAAGTTAAAAAATTAAGAAAATTATTAACCAATAATTACTTTCATTATCAAATGTTTTGATATTTGCATCAAATATTGTAACAATAACTATTATTTGTGATTAGGTTTTATTCAAAATAAAACCAATAACCAAATAAGTAAAAGAATTATAAAAACGATTTTAAACATTGAGGCATTATTATATGAAAGTTCAAAACAGGTAGAAATTGATGTATTAAAAAACTTTATCAGGATATGGATTCTTAAACTAGTAATGTCCCAGGAAATCCAGGATAAATAGTCACTCTAGTAGTCTAGTATAAAAATAATTATTAAAAATTAGTATAAAAATAAAGACATGAGTAAATAAATATGATAGAATAAATATTTTAACTAAAATTAAATCATAAATAAATTGATTTTAAATTCATTATTAAGCAATATTTTGTCATGCATTCTTATTATTTTTAAATTTTTCTTGTCAGCTTGATATATTTTGAGGTAATTCAATATGAAAACCTGTCTAATGTTGTGATTTTCATAATCAATTTCTAGCATTCCAAAATTTTATTTTTAAAGTATTTAGAAACATAACTTTACAAACAGGAATATAAGTATATTTATAAGTATTAGAATTTTTAAAAATTTGTTTCATCATTTAAATCTTAAGTCTATTGCGTGAAGTCATATTTTTTATTAAAAAAAAAATATACAGAATTTAATTTTAGATATTATTTTAATTAATTAAAATAAAAAATATCCAAATAATTCATATATTTAATAACAATAATAAGTAAAGGTAAGTGTTTTTTTTCGTTTTAAAATTAATACAATTATAACATTTATAAAATAATAACAAAATCTCGTAACTTAGATTTTTTTTTTTCATCTTATAGTTGAGAGGTTTTGACAAAGGTGTGACTGTTATTATATTGTCAATGTTAATTAAACTAAAGAAATATTATCAAATAAATAGTTTAAATTATATTTGTTTTTAATAGTACCTTCCTAATAAAAAATACAATTTTAATTTATTAATTTAATTGTTGTACATCCATTGTACAAAAATGCTGCATTTCTATTGCATGCATAATAAATAAATATTTAGTTTAATTTGGCTGGGAATGAATTCAAATCAAAAATATAAAAAATAATTAAATTAATAACCTTATATTAAATCAAAAATGCAGTTTTAAACCTATTCGAAATAATCATATTATACCTAGGTAATTATGACGAAATATAATATCTACAGTTTTAACATGACATGTACAAATGCTAAATGTCTGGATCAAATCACGTATCCAATTTAGGTTTTTTCAATTTGAATATCTAACATAAAAATAAACAGGAGTATTTAATCATTTTTATAATATTTTATTTTAATTTATATTCAACTAATAGCTAAATAATTATGATAATTGAATCATAATAATAAATTAAAAAGCACATTAAGATATGAAATTTATTTTTGAATAACTATAACTATAATTTATTAGCTATTATGTTATTATTGCTTTAGGTTCTTGAATAATGTGTTAAAAATAATGATTAGGTATGTTATTTAAATTAATTAATTTAAAAATCAAATAGACTTTTAACTATCTTTAATCTTTTAAAATAAGATGCATAACCACATTTTTAATAAAATTAAAAAAAACACTTATTAACTAAAAAGTAAAAAAAAAAAAAATGTTTAATATATGTAATAATAATATTATACCTAAATACACCAAATTATATATAATTAAATATTTTTAATACCTACCTTAATACGGATTCGAAAATAAGTTTTTTTTTTAAATATAGGCCTTGCTATTGTGCTTGAAAATTTTAACAATCTATTGTATGTTTTACTAAAAAAACAAAAAATAAAACAACATACCTTAATCAATAAAATTGAAATTCGTTTAAGCCTTTAAGAATTAAATTGCAGTATACACAGCACAATCGGACGAACAACATTGATCACTGATTCGTAACATAATAGACTAAATATACAAATATACAGTGCATACGTCTTTACACTAACAAGAAAATTAGAAATCGTTTATCTTTTTGTTGGAATTTATAGCTACAGGGCAATAGGTCAGTAGTGGCACAGTTCCTTTAAGTTTACGATTTAATGTAAATAATGTAATATTTTATTTAAAGCATCCGCTTTTCTTATCAATAATCTGCTACGTTATTAATTATATGATATGATAAATGGTGATATTAATTGACCAATACGATGACTTCCCTCTTAAATTTTCATTTTAGGTTAATAATGTTAATATCAATATAATAAAAATATAACAAACATTAAAATTATTTCAAGTTAAAATATTTTATATTATACATTATTCAGTAAGTCTAAATTCTAATTTACTATCTTAGTCTTAGTTCATATTATTATATTTTATATTATACAATCCAAATAATCTAATACTGATTACTGTCTAAACAAACTATGTACAAACATTAATAATTTATGTGTTGAATATTTAGTGTTTACTGTTTTTTACCGCCTAGTTCTTTAATATCTAAATAATGTCTGCAGTTTACTACTTGTTAATTGTTACTTTTCTTTGTTAATACTCACTAGTCACTACTTAGTAAGTTATGACAGTTATCAGCTTATCACTGTTGACTGTTCATTGTTTAACTTTTAACAGTTCGGTTTCAAGTTGTCCTTTCTTCACTTGTCTATTCAATGTTATTTGTTTATAACTTACAGAAAAAAACAGAATATTCCTTATGAGATTGACTGTTTGCCACCGAAATAAGATTTTTCACTGTTCACTGATACATTTTGAGGGCTTGGTACCTTTTAATTATTTTTTTTTCATAGTTTCCAGCTTAACCTACTAAGTACTATCCACATAGTAAGCTTTAAAAATTGATCATAACTTAAATCTTTTTTTGTCAAATAAATAATCAATTTATTTAACATCGATTAAACTTTTAGATTATAATGAACAGTGACTATAAAGTTTGCCATACTATTTCTGATGTGAAATCGGCGATTTCTTTTGAAAATAATTCATTTGATGTTCGCATTGAATCTGAATTACCTGAAACAATAAAAAATGAGAAATATATTTTGGGAATTGATGAAGCTGGTCGTGGCCCTGTCCTTGGTATGTATAAAAAATAAAAATAAAAATATTCTCAACAATCCTAACTAGGTAAGTTAGGTAATAAATAAAGTGATTCGTTTTAATTAGTTAATGTTTTGATAATAGGTATAGTGATAAAATTTAAGATTTTGAAAAAATAATGTATGCTACCTACAGTATGATGTTCTCAAAAGAAAAAATATTTCTAATTTTCAATTAGATTACTTATCCAAAAATAATTATATCTTGGTCATACTACATAAACTTTCTAATTGCTCACACTCCAGTTCATACCTATGTGTTGACTTCTACATTTTCATACATATATTAAAATATTTTATACCTTACTCATAGTCATAAACACATATACTAAATGTTTAAACATTTTTTTTTATCATTATTTTCCAATATTTTTGTTTATTGTTATTGTTAACATATCTTATACTCATATTGAAATCAAAAATTTTTATTTATATGTTGAATTTGGTTAATACTAAATACTAATGTATATATATATTATAATCAACTTTATATATTTGATAATTTTTTAACACATTGACTACCACGTAGTCACTGGCAATAATTACTCTAAAAATGTGGTTGTCATATTTCCATGTATTTTTAATTTGACTTTGTTGTAATGAGGCTGATATTAAAATTGCATAGAAAAGAAGATATTTTAATAATTACTTAGATATTTTTAAGGTATATAAATAAATGCTTACATAAAAGTATTGTTTTACACTAAAATAGTGCTTTTTTTCTTACTACTTTCAAGTTAGACTCAGAAGAAAATAGATTTTATTATGTAAGCATCATCTTTGTCGGTATCATCAAAATCTCTGAATTCACTATAATTACTAAAATTATCAATGTCAAGTATTTTATTTATATGATTGTTATTTAATTTAGACCTTTTTGGACAAGAACTCATCATTATAATTTTAAAATAATTATTTTTAGTCATAAAAAACTAAAAGTATTTACTTAGTGTATAATTAATACAAATATCATCAACAGGACGCCAAGTGATTATTGGCCACCACTTTAAAATAATGATTTAATATTATCGACTAGACAAATCTAATAATATGTATATTGGTATTGTAAATTTCTGTTGAATAGTTCTAGAAATATTGAAAATAATATTTTATTAATTACTCTTTAAATAGGTTATGACGTACTGCAACAAATTATCAAATGATTGTTGGCAGGCATTTTGCGGATCAATATGTAATAGATACACTATTGACAGAAATATTATTGTAATATCTAAACTAGTATTTATAATAGATTTATATTTCTACTGTTAAATAAAAAAATCGTTTGATAATTTTTTTAGATTATGTATTTCTGTTTATAACTAGGTCCAATGGTATATGGTACATCTTATTGTTCAGTAGATAATCAAGCTTTACTAAAATCATTAGGATGTGCTGATTCTAAAGTTTTGTCTGAACAAGCTCGAGATGAAATTTTTGATGGAATAACCAAACAATTTAAATTACTTGGATGGGCTGTACACATCATATCACCAACTACAATAAGCAATTGTAGCTTTAGAAGGTAGTTAAATATGATGAAACTTTTATTTTTATTTTTGTAGACCATAGTTCTAATGATTTCATCAAAATTTTAGAGACCTGAAATCCAGTAACACTACTTATTTATATTATTTTAATCTTTTAAAAATTTATTATTAATGCCAAAGTAAACCACTAACAACAAAATAATTTGTGTATATGCATATCAGAATCCCCCCCCCCAAAAAAAAAAAAAAAATTACATCATAGTATATCATAATTATAAACATTTTTTAGGCAAAAGTGTTCTTTGAATGAAATTTCACATAATGCTGCAATAGGTTTAATACAACGAGTTTTAGACAGAGGAATAAATATTAGTGAAGTATTTGTTGATACTGTTGGACCTCCTGATAAGTACCAAGTAAGAATATTAGTAGTTTTTATTTTTTAGATGCATGAATACTTAAAGGAACTTAAGTATATAAAATTGTTCTATTGTTTGTATAGAATGTTTATAATACATTTATACTATTATGTTTATATGCTTACAGATAGTAAAACCTCAAAGAACCTACATTTTATGAATTAAGAACAAAAATAATAATATATAAATACATTATAATGATTTAAATGATATTATATTATTATCATTTATTATGTATAATATTTTTTAAATATTAATTAAATTTTTTTTATCTAAAACACCAAGTTTATTGTGGTGGCACTTAAAAGTTTGACCCAGCTAATAACTAAATTACTATTTATAATAAATTTGTTGAATAAAAGTTGATATCAGATAATAATTTTACACTTATATTATTTAAGTAAACATATGCTTTGTAAATTCTATTTAATAAATTAATATAAAATATTATCAATTTATTTAAATAAATACGTAGAATGTATTTATATATTATTTTATTGTTATTAATAACTGAAAATATTTATGACTTAAATTATTTGAAAATATTTATAATGAGTATTATGCCATTTAACTATTGATTAACTGATTTATTGTTATTTTAATCTACCTATTAAGTGTAAACTATTCCTTTTAATATTTCTGTATTTTAAGGTTTATATTTTAAATTCATCATTTGTAATTTATTATATTTTGTTATTTGATCTTTAGGAAAAATTATTATCAATATTCCCTCAACTAAAAATAACAGTTTCTAAAAAGGCTGATTCTTTGTTTCCAATTGTAAGTGCTGCTAGTATTTGCGCCAAAGTAACTCGTGACGCGGCGTTAAAAAACTGGAAATTTATTGAAAAACCTGGAGAAGATATTGATTCTAATTGGGGAAGCGGATATCCAAATGGTAAAATCAAAATAATTATAATTATTAATGGTTCTTTTGAATATTAGTTCAGGATCTAAATATAAAGTATTACATTTAAAATAATTTTTATCACTTAGATCCGGTAACAAAAGAATATTTAAAAAAAAACATAGATCCAGTATTTGGATTTCCAAGTATTGTTAGATTTTCTTGGTCTACAGCAGAATTAGTATTAAAAAATAATGCAGCACAAATAGACTGGTAAGTTTATATTATGTATCATAATATTATGAAGTATTTAATATAACTTATTATTTTACTATATTGGTGTTTGATTTAAGTTTTTAATAAAAAATTAAAAAGTGAAATACATTTTGCAATTATTAAGCAAAATATTTAATATTTTTTTTAGGTCTGATGAAGAAGAGGATGTAGATAAAAAATCATTACCTATAACATCATTTTTTGGTCAAAATAGTAAACAAGTTCAACAGAAAACACCTTTTTTTGATGATAAGGGTATAATTATTACAACTAAATTTTAATAAATGATAGATCATTGTTTTATAATTGTTTTTTTAATCAAAACAATATTGTAATACTTATTCATGTATTTTTTTCGGCTTCTACAATGTTTACAATATTTTAAATTCATCATTCAATAATATTTTATTTGTAAACTAAAATTAAGTTTACATTATTTAATACTGTTTAATAAATACATTAAAATTAACCTAACCTTAAATATTACTAAAGAATTTTTTAATTAATCACAGTAATTATTATACAGTAATAATATATTTTATGCTTGAAATACAGGGTTCTTTCCTATTATGTGTTTTATTAAATGTTTTATTATTGGTTTATTTTATAATTATTTATTTATTTATTATTTTTTTTTTTTTTTTTTTAAATAGTTCTAGACTTTTAAAACTTAAAATAATAATGTGTACCAGATTTATAAAATTTTAATTTAATAAAGATAAAAACTTTTTTTTTTTTTTTAAATTTAATATCATGTTTTTTAAGAAAATAACTAGTATTAAATAGGTAACTATAAAAGTTTTGAAATGTAAGCAAACTGCTACCTGTTATTTTTATACTGGTGAGATCCATCTAATTTTTTTTTAATTGTGTGTTAAATAATACAAAATATTGTTTTTTTTTAGAAAATTTAATGGAAACATCATTGATTAATGTAAGTTGAATAACCATTATGAATTATGATCTTTGAAGTTTAAAGTTAAAGAAAAATATGTATAAACAAAATACCAAAATATTAAAATCCTTGGTTAGTATTCTATAATTAATAGTAGAAGTGTTGATAAATACTACCTATCATATCTATGGTGTGTAGTATGTAATGTGGAATTGTGTGGTTAAGTATTGTTAGAATACTTGTTATTAGAGTTTTGTGGTTAATTTAAAATTAGACTCTAATCACTATTGATATTTAGTTTCACTTTCATTTTTGGTAGATAGATGATGAGTGTAATTATAAAATTTTGTTTCATAGTTTTTTTTTTTTTTATGGTTCTACATTACTGAGTATTTAATTATTTATTATATTTTCATAGGCAATGTCCAATTATAAGTTTGATTAATATTTAATATTTAAAGTTTATAGATATATAATACAAGATTATAACAATAAATAAAAGTATCATAGTTAATGTAGTAATAAAACAAAATTATTCAATTTTATATTTAAATAGATAAAGCAATAATTAATTAAAAGTTTGCCGGTGCTCACGTGTGTAATCTCTGACTTACATACATACAACAAAAAAAAATTTGTGCTCAGTCATTTATTTTATGTTAATAAAGTAAATTTACCTATTATAAATCTTAAATATAAGAATATTATTTAAGGCATTTCATAAGCTTTTATTAAGATTATAATTTCAAAGTGAATTATGAGAATTTTAAAGTTTTAATATTGTACATAGTTATAAATTTTATAATTCACTATATGATATCAATAAAAAGCTCATGAGATATTCTAAATAATATTCTTGCTTTTGAGTTTGATAATTAGTACATTTACTACGATATTAAATCTAACAACATTATATTGATCCTGCTGAATATAAATTTACTATGTTGTATGTATGTAAAACAGACCTAACCATAGACAATACATTTATGTTTGATATCCTATTATTTCAATAAGTAACAAAAGATTCAAAAGAGTTATCAACAAATAAATTAGTACTAAAATTGTTGACAAGTTGCATTAAACCAGTGGCTCCCAGCCTTTTTTTTATTCTATGTCACCCTTATAAATTTTCAAAAATTTCATGTTCCCTCCCCCATAAAAAAGACCTTTTGAATTTTGGTTAGACAAAAATACAAAATAACTAAATATTGTATAAATAATGACATATTTTTTTCATTGTTTTAAAGACAAAGTATAAAATATAAATTAACTTGATAATATTATTTTCTAGATTTTTGAATAGAATTTAGTACATTTATATATTACAAACAAAATACGTGAACGTATTAAAATTAAAAAAATTTAATAAAAAGTTTGAAATTGTTTTTTTTTTTCGCCGAGTTCATAATCCGTGGTTATATTTTTGACAACACGCAACGCATATCATTTTTCATATCCAATTGTGTTAGAAAACTAGATTCACAAAGATAAGTTAATACAAATAGAATTAATGTACAGAGAACTTTTTCAGCCATTTTTGGAGAAGAGTTGATCAATGATGGTCAGAATTCCGTTACAAATTTTTCATCAAATAGATTTTTATTATGTCATTTATTGTTTTGAATTTTAGGTACTGACTATAAAACGATATAATTATTTTTAACTACAAAATTCTCGTTATTTCATTATCACTATATTCCTTATATCTAAATTTCCCCTCTCTGATTGGCAACCACTGCATTAAATGATTTAAGGGAGCACTGGAGAGACACATAAAAAGTAACTTAATTGTCTGCCTAATGCTTATTTAAGAAATACGAAAGTTTAACTTGTTAAGTAATTCTGAACCGTTAATATTAAATTTTATAATTTAAAAAAAGCACAAGTCTAATCGCTCCCTGCGTTTAGCTAATGATTCAAGTCTATAGTCTATAACTTATAAGGAATGACTAATATGACGAATGAAGGGAAACGTATTTAATCACACTTGAAAGGTAAGTATCGAAATGTAAAAAGCGATTTTTAATTGCCTCAACAGAATTAATTACACCAATAGTATGATATGATTGAGATGGCCAAATAATAGAGCAATAATCAATTAAGTATAGCGTTCTAACAAGAAGTGAATAAGTAAAATATCTACCATTTTTATAACGTTAGTGGATTATTAAAATCCTTATAGGTAGTTACGATTAATAAAATCTAATATTAAAGATGCTTTATTTTGATTATATATTTATTGATTATTAAAAAAGAGTGAAGATCCTAGGTGTAAGGCTATACTCATTAAAACTCAATATTGTTTTTAAAAAAAAATTATTGTTAAATATAGTAGAGATTTATGACTTGGATATAAGTCTAAATTGAGTATATTGTGCAAGTTAGATTAGGTTAAGTGTCATATTATCTTGTTTTATATAATATTTTAGGTTTAAAATTATTATTTATGATTTTTATTAAAATATGAAATTTTTAAACTATATTCAATGCATCTCCATTGATTAACCGATTTATGTCAATTTTTTTTTCTATTTACTAGATCATTCTTCAACAAAATTCAACTGAATTCAGTAAAAATTTCACTTAAAATTCCATAGAATATGCCAATATAGGTAGGTAACATTTTAAATAATTATAATTTATTTATTTGTTTTGTTTTTCGTACATACCTATTGTTTCGTCGTGACAGCCAATAGAACTGTTCTATTGTTCGTGTCATAGTAGGTATACTAAATTGTCTAAATTATTTGTAAATATTTAATACAATATAATATTATTTTATAATGCGTATTCGTTTGTTTTTTTTCTTTCACGAATTGATGCGGAAACCAAATATACGTGAACACAATACCATGCAATCTATCGACTGAGTAGGTATCGTTTATTCGGATTCAATCGTATTATTAATTATTACTTTTTATTAACAGTGGTTTATTTAGGTTACTGGTGCATGAAAGCTAGATTGGAATAAGCAAATCGTCCTTTCATTAAACGTTACAAAAAAATAAAATATAACAATAGAAAATCAAATTTTTACAACAGTTTTATGATAAAATATTACATAGAATAGGTCAGTCGCCAAGAACCAATAGATAAAAGGTACAAACCAATTGTTACTGTCGAATATAGATACTTTTAAAAAATTCAGCGTTATATTCAAGATTGGTTAAAGTAGTATGCGGTTCGTATTTTTTTACATATCTAACTATTAGGTATCCTAACGAAAAAAACAATATAATTTACTTTAACATAATATCTATTTTCATTATTCAATTTTAATTTTTTTTTAACTGTTTTGTAATCAAATAAAATGGGATTTTTTAAAATTTAAAAAACTAAATTACATTTTTTTTTTAAATTTTTAAAAATGCTTAAAGAAAAAAAATTGAAATTTATGTCATTTATTGAAACTTTTTTACCAATTGCTGTCTAAAACCACTTTTAAAAAATTTATTGAATTGGCACGAAAATACTCAGGTAATACAGAATTTTTAGAACATAATATATTACTCTACATCAGATTAATTAATAAGATACAGCTAAATATAGTTATTTTTTTTATATAGTGATTTAAAAAAACAATCATAATATTAATATATCGTAATGACCTATAAGATATGATTGGCTATAATTTTTTGATTGTATATGTGCTGCATTTTTTTTTTTTAAATAATATAAAAATAATTTATATTTTATTGATGTAGGTCAATATAATATTTAATTTCTATTGCTCAATTGTTTTTGTTAGTTTATTTAATTTACGGTCCTGTGTATCTGATATACCTATGATCTTGAAGTAGGTTAAGTATATTAGTTATTTATAATAACTAGTTCGTACCTATGATATATTATACATAAATAATCGTATAAGTGTATAACATCACTTATCAATATTTTCTTTATGGGTGACAATTAAAATATAGAATTATTAACTTATTAAAATATTTTTTAGTTTTTTTTTATTAGTTTGTTGTTAACTATTTATTTATATTGTACATATTTTGTATCTATTGATATTATAGGTATTGTTTTATTATAATACGTACCTAAGCACGTAAGTCATTCATTTGACTTATTATTATATTTTTTTTTGCGTTAAGTATTCATGAATTATGAACATTTGTTGTATTATTTATATTTTATAGTTTATTTCTTTATGTATTAGGTAATAAAAAACGGACTTAGAGATTTATGTATAATATTTAAAAAACACTACTGTTTATACATTTTTTAATTACGTTTTATATAATAATATATAAATTATATTTCTTCTAGTTAGACTATATTTTATTATTAAATAAAAGTTAAATACTGATTTTAAACTTTAAGAGAAGTAAAGAACGATTAATTTTGTAATTAATTTTTTTTATGAAATGTGAACAATTTTGGGAATTT